CAGCCTTGTTTTTAACCAACACACTTTCCATTCTCTCCATTAAGGCCTGGTTTCTCCATTCCTGGAGGAGCCTCTAATGTATGATCCTGTCCAAGACATCATTGGTGTTAGCCATGCAGTGGAACCATGTGGAAAGGATAGAGGACATGGACCCCTTCCATGCTGGCATCGCTGGCCTCCAGAGAGGGATGTGAACTAACCGTTGTGACATGCTTGACAGGTCCTCACCCCCAAAGTGACTGGAGTTGTGGGATATGCATCATGGACAAAGGGACTTTCCTTAATGTTGTGCTCACTTTGGTAGCACATATACTAAAATCAGAATTTTCCTTAACTTCTTCTGTGAAGGCTTTTCGTTGGGAATGCTTCCAAAAATTCCCCTCATCCAGATTTTCCATGGATGCTTCAGTTCCACAGTACCTGGCATTGGGCGCCGAGGAACCATCCTTCTAATGGCAGCACCTTCTCCCAGTGCAACGTCCTTCCCCTGCTAGTAGAATGGCCTCTTGCACTGGAGAAAGGCACGGCCCTTTAGCAGGATCCAACCCCAGTCTTATTTCCAGGGTGGAACTGATTGCAGGAGATGCCCTCTATTGTTTTGGCATGTTTATTTGTGTGTTATATTTAGATCCTGCTTTTCTGACAATTGTTTCCCCCCAAAGCGGTTCACATTAATAGAGAGAGACGGGGGTTTGCAACTAGAAAAATGAGAGAGACAAGGAAAAGAGAGCAGAGGGGGAAAGGAAATCAGTTTGACAGTTAGGATTTATATCCAACTGGAGCCAGGTTGCTCTCCGTGCTTGGATGGAGGGGTGTAACTCCCCTGCAGCTTTTAGGCCTCTGGTCAGGGATGAAGGCCTTCAGCACTTGGGGCAAGTTGCAGAGGGGAGCAGGGAGGGAGAAGCAACCTCCCTGTGGCTAATTATATTCTGTTGAGGGCTGGGGCCTGATCATTTTCTTTGGGAGAGGGAGGTCCTTCCTTCATTTTATTTTATTTTATTTGCCTTCCTGTGTGTTATGAAGAGCATGCGTAAGGCAGTGTTGTGATCCTTTTGCTGTAGCTTTGTACTGATATGCATCGGCATTGAAAACGCACCTCACAGAAGGAATCGCACTATGGAGAGTCACAACCAGAGTCTTTTTTCCCCCTTTTTTTCTTTTTGCAGTGTTGCAGTCAACACTGGTGTAGCTTGTCAGATTTTGTAGCCAGCTGTCTTGTTGTTAACACAGAGAGGGGGAAAGAGGCAAGTGAACCAGAGGAGCAGAGCCAGATTGTACATGCTCCAATTCCAGAATTGATTTTTTTTTTAATGCTCCTGGTTAAGCTGGCACGTATCCTACTGGTCTGCTCAGCAAAGTTCAAAGACTTCCTCCTACCTAAAGAGCCTGCCTCCACCTCAAGTGGCTGTTCCATAGCTGGAGGGACGGTTCTTAGGCTGGAGAAAAGTTTTGAATGTCCCTGGATGCTGTGGTAGGGTACAGGCTGCTGAAGTTAAGAACTGGAGGGCAGTGCAGACTGAAAGGGAAGAACAGGAATCAGCTTGCCCCATATTTCTTAGCCACCCTCACTTGGTAATGGGAAAAGAGGACATTTCTTCCCCTTTATTATTGGTTCTTTTTATTGTTTCTAATTTCAGGTGGGTAGCCATCTTGGTCTGCAGTAGAAGAAGCAAGATTTGAACCCAGTAGCACCTTAAAGACCAACAAGAGTCCCAGGGTATGAGCTTTCAAGAATGAAAACTTCCTGGTTTCTGATGAAGGGAGCTTTGACTCTCAAAGGCTTATACCTTGAAAATCTTGTTGGTATTTAAGGCGCTCTCTCTTAATTTAATTATCTGTCTCCCAATGTTTGTGGCATGCTCTCTTTTCCTGGTGATGGTGTCTGTATCTGTGTCAGAGTCGAGCCTCTGGCAGCCTCCCATCCAGGGACTGAGCAAGACAGCACCCTCTTCATTTTGACACTCCCCCAGTGTTGGTTGCTCCCTGACCATTTGCTGTGCCTCCTTGTCAAAAAGGGTTTCCGTCTTCGTGTCTCTCTGGTGTAGTTAGATTAGAGCTGTCTGGGTGTCTGTAACCCAAGGCCTGTCAGTGTAGTTGTGCGTTTCAAAGAAATCAGTTAAGACATTCTTCGTGATAATAAAGTTAACTTCCATAACTGACAGATTTGTTCCTGTAGCAGGTAGCCTTTAAAACACCCTTTGATCTCCACCTGTATTACTCACAGTGCAAAGTGACTGGGGGGGACATTCGCTTTCAATGAGGAAGGGTCTCCCTTCACTTCAAAGTACTGAGGTGCGAAGGGATTTCCAGGCCTTAAGGACAGGGGTTTTTCCTGACCAGTGAATGGATGCTAAACATGGACTCCCAACAGAATTCTTAATGGATGGAGGGGGAGCTTGCATCCAACAGGACACATGGTTATGAAGCTTCATTTGCATCCTTTAATGTGTCTTTAAACTAGAAGGAAGTTGGGTTTGATCTCCTGGGGGGACTGGCAAATATTGGCATGTTTTATGTCCTGTCTCTCTTGGAAATCAGGGTGATTTTTTTAAAGAAAGAATTCTGCTTTTGCTCTTTATGTTGCTGAGTTGGAAGCAGTTCTCCACACTTAAAGTTACTCTCAGTAACATTGATTCAGGTGGGTAGCCATGTTGGTCTGAAGCAGCAGAACACTGTTTAAGCCCAGTGGCACTTTGAATAAAACCTTGCTGGTCTTAAAGGTGCCAGTGGACTCAAACTTCTTTCAGTAATATTGTAAAGAGTCTCAACAATAATCTCTCGTCAGGTTTCCTAACACCATTATCTTAGGGCAGCAGGATTTAGCTTTTATCCTTTATGATTATTTTCTTATTTTGCCAATGGTCCCGTTCACACTCACCGATTTGGTCCGGGAGCAGGACAGTTTGGGGCCGGATCAAACCGGCGCGATCACACCACAACATCTGGGAAGCGTCCGGCTTCCGTACCCAAACTGTCCCTTTCCCGGGATGAGCCGGCGCAAACTGAACCACCTATCTAGGTGGTTTAAAGGGAAGCGGCGCGGCAACCGGGGCGTTTGATCGCCGCCGCTTCCCTGCGCCGGCTCAACCCCGGCCCGGATCCGAACTGCGCATGCCCGGACATGCGCAGTTCGGCCGGCCCCCGGGTAGGGCGTGTTTTCTCCCCGGCGTTTGATCGCGCCGGGGAGAAAAGGCGGCGCGGCCGGGGGATCCGTGGGATCCTGCCGCGCTGTGTCAACATTGGCGCAGCTTTTAAAAGCCGCGCCTTTAAGCGCCTTTTCCCCTGCGTGTGGCAGGGGCCAACGTGTCAGCGTTTTCATTCCCTAATAAAAAGTTTGCAATGAATTATTTCTGGTTTTGCTTGGGAATTCAGGGTTTTGGCCGTGTCTTTGGAGCCTTGCCAACTTAGCTAGTGTTGTTCTGCTGCTTAGCCGCTGAACAGTGGAGGACTTTGAAGGCTTTTGCTTTGAAGTTAAACCTTCAGAGTGTGTACCTGCCTGGATGTGTGAAACAATAGGTGGTAAGTGTGGCAGATGTCTGGGAGGTGTGGCTGCTTCTTGATTGTTCTAAGTAGGAGCCTACATACCACTTCAGCACCAGTGGGGCCCCTCTCTCACACACACACACTCAAACAACACTGCAGCATACACTGAGTGTTTGCTATTAGCTGCACCTCCCCCAGTAAGAGTTTGCAGGAAGAAAACTGGCAGCTCCCCACCTGGTGTATGTAGAATACACATGTGTAGAATGTGTGGAATACACATTTGAACATACAGCTACAGATAGGGGCCCTATCTTCTCACACCCATCAATGTCCACTCCCTCTCTCCCTCCCTTAGGGCCCCAATCCACTCTGACTTGTGGGGCTAGATCCAGTCAACTTTTTTTGCAGAATTGCACCCAAATCTCTTTTATTACAACCCCAGTCCCACACAGCTTTTGTCTGCGCAGGCACCCTCGATTCCCAGCATAGCCTTTTCCTTCCTTTTCCACCAGTGAAAAAGCTGGTTGGATCCAACCCAGGAAACAAACTCGGCTCCTGCAATGGGCCCCAGATGAGCACACAAGTACAGTTGAGCTCATGCCTTCAAATACACATCTCTGTCTCATGTGCATTTTTGGAATTGTAATTTTGCAAGCAGATCTGCTTTGCTGGAGTAGAGCATTAAAATTCCACCCCCCTAATAAGAGGTACCACCTTGCTTTGTGAACACTGGGCAGCATCACCTGGAGCTCTTGTGTGCTTTCACCCTTTCGAGTAGAATTACCCACCTGGCATCATCGTTGTTGCTGCCCCAGTTTCAGGAGGTGTGCTGCCAGGCCCTGTGGGGAATAAACAAATCAGGGCTAGGAGATGTCCTCATCATCAGCCTCAGACAGTGTGTGGGCTGCAGAGCCTTTGGTGCCTCCTCTCAGTTCTGCTGTGGTGCTTTTTACAGCCCTGCAAAAACCTGACAACAATAAAACTCCTAGACGGACTGGTATGCACCCCCTGGCTGCTCAAAGAGGAGGCTGGAAGACTTGCAGGCTCTGAGCATTGCCTGACCCTGATCTTATGTCCATGTCAGCTTTTCCCTCTTGCAAACCACTCTTGGCATCACCCTTCAAATTAAATCAAATGATGACTGCAATAGCAGCCCCTGAGCCTGGAGCATCGGGATGGGGTGGGGGCGATGCCAGGAGCAGAGAGGGGGTTGGGCAGAGCACTCAGCTGAGGGATGGCCAGGCAGACAGGCAGGGAGGGGAGAGACTTTTCACCCCAGCAAAGCAAGCAGCTCAGTCAGAACCCTGGCGCCATTCGTGCACACAGACCACCTGCCTCGCCCGGGCACCCCTTAGTGGGAGGGTGCCGAGCAAAGGGTTAAGGCTGGCACTGAGAGCCTGAAGGGTGTGGGCTGTGTGATTGTGTGTGTGTGTGTGTGTGGAGTGTCTGAACATTTTGAAATCTCTTTTTTTTTTCCCCCTCTCTCTTCTCTTTCTCCCTCGCATTCCATCATTCAGGGAGGTTGGCTCTGGGAACTGGGACACAGAGAGCTGCCAGACGGTGGAAACTCTCTCCGCTCACACCAAATGCCAGTGCAACCAGCTCTCCACCTTTGCTGTGATAGCCCAGCTGCCCAAAGATCTGGTAAGTGCCGGGGAGGGGAAGGGAGGGGACAGGGTTGGCTGCTCGCCTCCTGCCTGTCCCCAATCAGAGGCAGCCAGAATGTGAGGGTCATGAAAAGTGGCAGAGTGGGAGAGGAGGGAACTCTGGCCTGTGGGGGGCACAACCCAGCAGAAGCTTCTCTAAACTGAAGGGGAATGGCGGAAAGATTGTGAAACTGCAGTGCAGGAGAGAGTTCTCTGGGATGGTGTTCCAGGCTACTTGGGGTGAGGGAGAACTGGCCTTTAGATTTGTTGCTTCATATATCCAAGTGTGTTGGGGGGGGCATTATTTGCTCAGATCCTGTTTTTTTTGGGGGGCCCCACCCCCATCAAGTCACAGCCAACTTAATGGTGATAGGGTTTGCAAGGCAAGAGATGAACAGAGGTGGTTTGACATTGCTGGCGTCTGCATAACAACCCTGGATTTTCTTGGTGGGCTCCCATCCAAGTCTTAACTAGGGCCGACCCTTTCTTAGTTTCCAAGATCTGATTAGATCAGGCTCGCCTGTGCCCTCAAGGTCAGGGCCTGTTTTTAAGGGTTCAGAAGTCTCCAGTAAAACAATTCTCAGTCTAGGCCCCTGGAGGAGTTTGCCAGGTCGCATCCCAGCAACTGATTTACATGGGTGTAGCCCATTTGCAGCAATGGGGCTCGGTAACTTCCTTCCAAACCCAGATTGAGAAAAGTTTTGTTTGGGATATCTCAAGAAAGCAAGCACTGATATACTCTGGGAACTGGGCAGTCCCCAGTTCAACAAAGTCACTGCCACTCAGACACGCCCACCCCCAGCTGACCGAATAGGGCTCTTTTAATAGTTACTGAGATTATGTTAGGTGGAGCACTTGTGCATATTCCAGAACACCAAATAAATGCAAAACATTAGTGCTTTCTTTCTTAGTACTACTAGCAGAGCCAGCTGTTTCTCCCGAGGCCTCTTTTTGCTCAGGTGCTTATATACATGAACAAGGAGGCTCTTTCACACTTGGCCAGAACTGCTCATTCTGGGTCGTTTTTCCTAACATAACTTTTTTATTTAATTTTATTTTGGGGCAGGTTTTGCTGCTGAGCATCATTTTCCCCACAGCTATTCCTGGCCCAAAGAGGAGAGGGGTTTTTACTGGAAATAGTGTTCTTTTGCTGGGTGGGGGAATTAAGCAGCTCCTCACTGCTACATCCTCCTTAAAATTAGCCTTCTAGCAGCAGCATTCTTTGAAAATTAAAAATACAGCATTAGCTAAAAGGCTTACAGAAGTGCACGTAATGTGTTTGGCCTTGAATTCTTGTCCTCAGGTATCTCTGCTTTGCACAAACCTGCTTCCTGCACATGTGCATTTGAGCTCAGAACACAGCACAATTTTTAAGAAACTTTTTAGGGTGTATTCAAGATACAGCTAAAGTGAAAGACCTCCAAAGGCCAGTACTGTGAACCAGCAGCCTTCTGTCGCTAGCCTCACCCTCATTCTCAACAGTCCCCAAGGAGGTCTTTTTGCACAGGATGCCATGAGGAAATAGGCCTGGACCTCAACTATGATGGAAAGAAGCATCACCTGAATTAAGGATAAACCTTCGCAGTCTCCTCCCTGTTCCAGTGATAGGTTTCAGTTGGCAGTGAGCCTCCAGAGGAGGGGGTCGTAACTGGAGAAACAGCATCCTTGTAAGAAGTTTTCTTTGACAGGCATTTGGTGCTTACCCATCACACCCCATATGTCACTTTGCTGGGGGGGGGGCACTTCACTGTCTTGTATTTTACGTAGCAGCTTGCTGAGTCACCTCCTGCTAAATACACCCTTCTCACATAACTTCCCCCGCCCCCCAAAACTCAGCCCAGAATCTATACTTGGGTGATCGAGGGCACTTCTGGGCACATGCAAATTACTTTCCCTCTCAGTATTGAATATCCACAGACAGCCTCCCTGAGCCACATGTAAAGGCAGGCATCCTCTTGGATAAGATGCCCACAAACTAGGGTTGCTGACCCCAGCTTGAGAAATTCCTGGAGATTTGGAGGCAGAGCATGGGGTGGATGGAGTTTGAGGAGGAGAGGGAACTCAGCAGGGATGAAATGCCATGCAGTCCACGGCTATTTCCTCCAAGGGAACTGATCCCTTTAGTCTGGAGATCAGCTGTAATTTTGGGAGCTCTCCAGGTCCCACCTGGAAGTTGGCAATCCTGCCCTCAACATGACTCACTCTAGAGAACTGCCAACCGCCCCCTCCTGAACCTCTGCCCCCTTTCTCTCCTTCCTGCCACAGCCTCCCCAGATCTTCCCTTTGTTTCCCTCCTCCTACTTTCTCTTTCAGAACTCTTTCCACCGCCCTCCAAATGCTTTTAAGTGCTGTGGTAGATGATGTAGATCTATTCTCTTCAGCATTTCTTGCACACATACGCTCACCACCACGTTCACTGCTGGGGATGTTGGAATTTATAAAGGTTATTAGGAAGTCTTCGAAGTATTAATGTGGGTAGCGATGAGGAAGGAGAGCAAATGGATGACCATCTAGGAAGTGTGTTTGGGAATCCTGCCTTGCTGCTGCTAGTGGCTGACGGAGCAAAGCAGCATCTGTGCTCTGCCCTCGCGGCGGCTTGCTCTCTTTTCATGCTTCCGTAGTCGGGCTGGGTCATTGGTATTCCAGAAGCATGTCCTGTTGGCGAGGAGATGGAGAACCACCCCCAAGGAATGCAGAGAAGCTGCAACCGATCCGCTCCCCCCCCCCCCGCACATGTGTCACAGGAAGCAAAATAGAAGCAGATCAGCTCCCAGTGGGATTGTTCCAGAGCACCATTCTCCTTTTGCTTGTTAGGGAAGGGGCTTTTGCTTTGGAGGAGGGATGGAGATCCACCCACAGGTGTGTGAAAAGAGTCCTCAAAATGCTGCTGCCCCCAACATCAGGGTAGGGAGGCTAAGATCATCAGATGTTTCTATACCATAGTTTTAAAATGCGTTGAGAGTTATTCCTCCCCCCCCCCCAAATCTGGAAATGCTATTATGTATTCTATTTATTTTGTTTATTCCCCCCCCCCTTTTCACCCAATGGGGACCCAAAGCAACTAACGTTGTTCTCCTCTCCTCCATTCTGTCATCCTCGTGACAATGCTGTGAGGTGGGTTAGGCTGAGGACGTTGCTGGCTAAGTGGAAGCTTCCGAGACAGAGAGGGGATTGGAACCTGGGTCTCCTAGATCCTAGTCCAACACTCTAATCACTGTGCAGCCCTGGTTCTACAACTTTATTTCGGGGGGGGGGGGGCTGGTGATCTTTAGCAGATAATTCCCTGCATTTTCTTACTAAACAACGATTCCCAGGATTGGGGGGGGGGAAGTGCAGCCATTGTGCCATTGTGAACCTGATAATGTAGTGTAGATTAGCCCAGGGCTATTTTGGGGCAGGAACAGAGTTCCGGCTGGCTCCCAAATTGGCCACGCCCAGCAGGAACTCATTAGCATAATAGGCCACACCCAACAGCAGAAACTCATTAGGATTGGCTACATTAGGGGTGTGTGGCCTAACATGCAAAGGGTTCCTGCTACAAAAAAAAGCCCTGGGTTTTGACCACAAACAAGGTAAACAGAATAAGAAGCAAAAGGTGGGTGTGGCTGGATAACCACACTTCTGGTAACATGGGGGTGCAGCCTAATATGCTAATGAGTTTCTGCTGTTGGGTGTGGCCTATTATGCTAATGAGTTCCTGCTGGGATTTTTCTACAAAAAGAGCCCTGGGCCCATCAAGAGAACCTTGAAGGTAGGCCACTAGCAACTTGAACCAACCCTATTGCAGCCATTGCTTGTTTGCTCATTAGCTTGCTTTCATCCGGTGGGGAGGTTCTGTTGTTTGGGCCATCTTCCTACTCCAGCTAAGACCCATGCTGGCTAGAGTTTTCACACAGATTAATGGGTCTAGAGTGATTCCTTCTGGTTGGAAACTGATTCATAAAAAGGGGGACATCGCGGATCCACACAATTACAGACCAATAAGCTTACTAGATATCGCAGCAAAACTATACAGTAAATATTTGCAGACTTCGTTGGAAGAAAGAGACTGACACAGGTGTATGGATTAAACTAGGGCAGCTTTATTTAACGTGAATAATAAAATTATAACTGTAACTGGCAAGGGCCGCCAAAACTAGCAGAGGATCCCTTGATCCCTCTCCAGACTCAACAAGGGTAAATCACCATAGCCCTGGCACAGGCCAACCATAACACGGCCTTTGCCGGCGGCAAACATGTCAGCAACCTGCCTTGAACCCATCTTCAGCCACAGAGCATGAAAGTGGGCCCAAGTCAAAGTGCCTAACAGGCCACCCACAGTCCCCATCCAAGGGCCATCCCAAGGCATGGTTTGTGTGTGGTGCGCCAACCCCCCTGCAAAGGGAGGGGTCTGTCGCATGGTGTTCCCCTGAACAGAACAAAAACAGGCCAGATTTCTGCCACAAAAAGGGCCAAGCCTCTGCTTTAGCCCTTGATCCCACATATTGGCCGACAATCTGCTGCAGCCCTTGCCTCAAATCCCCTAAGAAGATTCTGTTTCCCAAGCCAGACTGGTGGACACCATCTTCCTGATAAAGAGGGGAACATTCCTTGACTGTGCCTGGATGGGTGATGACAAAACCCCGGCTCTGCATCATGGCATTCACAAGCTCATGATTCACCTTTTTGCGCGCCCATTCAATCGCATGGGGATCACATGCCCACTTCCAAACCCATCTTGGCAAGATAGCCGACCATACCAGCTGGACAGATGGCCACCTGTTTACAATTTCCTGCATATCATCCTGCAGGATGAGAGCTTTTCCTTAACCATCCCCAAATCATTACCCCAAGATGAATTACAACAATATCTGGAGGAGGACCCTCCTGCTCACAAAACAAGACTGACATAAGCCTGGTCCAACGTAGGCTGTTGTCCCAGCCACTCCACTATGGTGCAAGCACTGAGGCCCAGCTGAGCCCCCTAACCGGATCTTGATGCATAGTGGGCGGCCCAAA